TTCTTATGGCAAATATCAAGTTTTTGGTTCAATGAGTTCGAGTAGAAACTTCTCTAGTGTAAGTATTCTTCGTTAAGCACAACGTTCAAAGTGTCATTGTACAGTAATATATCAAAATTGAATGTTCTCAACCGAAAGTTTCGTCGTCGAAAGTACAAAAAAGAAACTAGTTCTTCGAAAAATTGTGTCTTTCATCTTATAATATGAGCTTGAGAACACTGATTAAATCTCATATACTTTCAGAAACATTGTAATTGCCAACAGACATACAAAAATGAAAAAAAGTTAGCATTTTTTCATCAACGTTCTCAAACTAAAAATGTTCTCACATAGTTCTAAATTTGAAGTGCAAGACCGGCACTGGAGATATTATCACCACCTCCAGCAGTCTGACTAGCTTCAGTGCAGACAAGAACAGGAGCAACGCATATATCAACGGGAATTCGACGACCACCAACATGGAATACTTCGTTCCAACAGGCTACTGGCTTGTCGACGTTCAATGGGATTCTCGTTCCTGATAATATGGATGTAGTGAAGCTGTCGTCCATTATTAACGTTGCTTTCTGGAGGTCGATCTGTAATTTTTAATTTCCGCATTATTTTTTTAGATTCTAAGATGAAGTAAATTATTGAGATCGACGAGTACTTTTTTAAAAATAAATTATGAATTTTGATAATGTTACTTGTATGAGTTTTATACGTGAAATTTTGCTAATATTTTTTAAATGACGAAATCTGTTGAATCTGGTTTTTTTTATTCGTAAATAAATCATTACAAAGTTATCTGTAAATAAATTGACTCCGCGTGTTGTATTCAGGTAGTTAATTTGAGATTTAATTGTTTGACATTAACATGAGAAGCACGATAACTGGGTGTCGCGTCGTCGTCTTTGTTAGATTACTGATACCGATAGATGATGAGAAATTAGTCGGCAGCTGTACAAAAACTCAGCTTACCTCACTGACACTACAGACATGTCGATGAGCAGTTAAAGATGCTTTGGCAGCAGCAGCCATGGTATTTTTCCAAATTGAATCTTTCACAGTCAATATAGCTTGATAAGCCAGAGTATGAACATGAATCCTAGTCAATGGTCTTGCTTTATTTATTCCATCACCTCTTGACCTAATCAATTTGAATAGTGCTCTCATCTGATCAAGAACAACAGCTACCCTTGGAGTTGAATCAGCTACTAATGAGATGTTTCCGTAGTACATAGAATTGTAGAGATTTGCTATTTCTTGTTCATTCATGCCTAAGCTGTCAGCATATGGGATGATAAGCTTATTCAATTCCATCACCAACTCTTCTCCTGCATAGGATGCTAATTCAAAATGTATTTTCATAGATTTCGGTTGTTTGATCATCTGTTCATGTACTTTTTGTAGTCTGGATGCTCTCTCGCCCTGCTTGAAAGGATAATTGTCCATCATCTGAAGTCCACTAATAATTAAAAGGTGTGGGTTGAATTCAGGAAGAATCTTTTCCAACTCTTCCAATCCACTGGCTTCTGGATTTAATTTGTCATTGTGTATAATGTATCTGCAAATTATATTCAGTAATAAACATATCCAACCCTGTTTTCACTTCTATTACTATAAATGAAAATCACCTATTTGCACGACCAGTAGTGTAAGGACCCCAAGTTTCTCCTCTCTTGTACTCTAGAACTAGGTGAATATCATCCCGCTTAGCTTTACCACCGACGACAGTTATAGCCTCAGGAATCATTTGTAACAACGAGTGAGTCATTCTTGCAGCCAAAACAACATCGCAACCTTCACGAACCAATCTCATAGCCATAAGGGCAGCATTGCCACCGATGGTTGTGTATGAGGACGGATATGAACGGGCCGCTGCCACAAGATTATCAAATAGGGTATCATTGGACATATAGCGTCTGCAATATTGGAAAGAATGAGCTGTTTGAATAAATAATTTTATAAATAATTGACTCATGAAATAAGGATTTGTACTTATGAAGAAACTCAAAACTGCAAAGTATTAAAAATATACTTACTCAGCAGCAGCTCCATGTCTGAAATAATAAGCAAAACTTTTCAGTAACTCTTCTTTATTATTAATTTCATTGTAGTGCTGTGGTTCTCCAATATCTTCATTGTATTCTAATAGGTTATTTGCTTCTATATATACATCAGTACAAATACCATATCCAATTGCAACTCTTGGCCTTGGGTGAATCACATGTTTTTTCTCCAAATTCTCTAATGCCTTAAGTACCGAATGTAATTTCTTTTGCAGTATATTATCTGAATTTCTAAAATAGAGGGCCAAAAGAACAGCCAATACTGCCAAGAATGTCCCCAATTTCAGTTTGCTGTAGCCCATTTTTGTACTTGATCTGTAAAATTTTTATAAACTTTATGCAGTTATATTGATTGCTAGAATGTATATCAAAGTATTTGCAACAAGTTATCTACTTTATTTTAATTGTTAGGAAAATTTATAATTGTTTGTTATTAATTGCTATAGTTTTCAACTTAAACATTAAAAATTTTTTAGATAAATGTTTTAATGGATAAATCATCGAAATTGGCTATCAAAGTTTGTTGACTAATTATTCATCAAACAAAATTGCAATTCACGCCAGACCTAAAATACTGTACTTTCTACGAACATATGTAGTGCCTTTTTCTTAACAAAGCAGTTGAATATCAGTTAAAGAAAAAATGTATATCCCACCTTTTCGTAGTGGGGTGCAAGCTTAGTAGTTTTCGGGCTTTCGGGGAGTAAGGAGAAAGGGAGGAGGAGGTTAAGCGGTCCGAGTTCCTACAGCGACACAAGACGACACACTAGAGCCACGAGCCGGACTCTGGCGTCACGACTCACGACCACAACGGTCGGCGAGTAACGACATGATGGCGCTATTGCTATAGCGGTGTGTTCGCGTATGTATTGTACGTAAGAGCAACAGCTGAGCAGGACAACGCAATGTCATCCGCGTGACGTATATAAGATAGCCTATCTGCTTCACTGGATCGCAAGTGTGTAGTTTTGCGTAGCTAATTTTTATTACTTTTCCAAGTCAAGTGTACTTTATTTTCTGTTTTTCAAGTTGACGCTGTATAACAGACAGGAGTTTGAGGTTAGGTAAGTTTTTTCTCGTACTTCTTTCTAGATATATTAACAAGTAGGTGTAGCATTGCTCATCAGTATGAGTGCCGTATATTTTTTTTGGAGAATAGAACTTTTCTTGCTCGGCTATATTTATAGAGAGTATTGATGTTCTGAATATGTCGTCGTGTAAATATAACCTCAAAAAACAAATGATGCATTTCCATAGATGAATTGATTGAGTAGTATTCATCTTTGGCATCTCTCGTCTCTCGCTGGTACATGTGTGTTATTTTCGATGTTTTTCTCTTGTTCGCGATGATAAAAGGAAATTGATCGTTAAAGGTTTTTCAAGTAGTAGGTCGGACTATATTCTGGACAGCAAAAAATAGCGACGTCGTCGCCGAAATTATTTATAATTATCACACACCACGCGTGAGAACATGTTTACATAACAGTGCATACAGGGGATGAGATATAGGGTCTCCATTTATTGTAGGCTTTACTTTTTCCTTATATGTTTTGAGTCAGAGTGCTCGTATTATTAAAATATTTACTGTACCAACTGACACACTTTTCCTTGTGTTTTTATCATTTCTCCGGGTATTTATAGTTGTATTTTATTTACAATTAGCGTAGAGGAATAAAAAATTAAGGATATCTTTGGATTTCTTCTCGAAGTTCTTTTTGACACGGATTGACTACTTTCACAGTAATTAAACAAGTATGATAGAGATTATTCATTTTTATCTACAGCCGTGTTATTATCTTTCTTCAATCTTTGAAAAATATAACGAAATACTTAGCGAACTATTTGAAATAAATCAAGCAAATAATTTTGATTTTTACGGTTCTCAAATAAGCGAGCAATAACACAATTAAAGTGTTATAATCCTCAATCTTGATAAAGCCATTCGAAGACTTCATGGCTTTCTCTTATGCGCCCCACATTGTGAAACCACAGAGATCTTGCGCCCTTGGGGCCTGATGGTCACCAGATGCTTACATGCGGTGTGTCGTCTCTCTCCGCTTGTCCTCCCTTTATAGGGCGTCTTCCGATGATAACCATACCGCCCGGATTTCCGCTTTCTCACCCTTGCACAACCGTGTTGTCGCGTGGCTCCGCTTTTTTCTTGGTATTTGCGAGGTTATATCGTTTTATAAAGTGTAATAGAGCTTCGAATATGACGGTTTTCGGGGGTAATTTACGAGATGAATGGAACTTGTGATGCGTATAGACGTGAAAACAGGTTTTTAGCACGCCGTATAGTATATATGTTCTGATATTTATCCATAAAAATAGTTTGTTTGAAGCAAATCAACTCTAAAATCTACGAATGTCTATTCCTATATATATATATATATATATAAGGTAATTTAATATTATCGTTCAGAATAAATCACTAACTTGCACATCAACATTTTCCATCTCGCTGATCGCAGCCAATATAAGATCGAAACGAGTTTCTACCAATAAGAAAAAAGAGAAGAAGGAAATATCATCATCTTTATTAATCGTATCACCTCTCGTGCGTCACGGTTATAAGTACCTATACCTGAAAACCGATCTCGCCACTGAACCAACGCACATCACACGCATTTGTGCGCGACTTGCATAATGCCTCAGCAGCAGCATTCGTTCGAATTCCTCGCATGGTCGGAAAACTCTTAAAAGCGCAGACAAAGGGCGAACGTAGCATAATAATCTCACTGTAGGGAGCATCAGTTTCACTATACTCACGTTCTCTCTCTTTCAAAAATTTCACCTGCGTTAAAGAACCGAGAGGGATATATATAAGCATTCCATCTACCTGCGCCTTGATTCTTCTCTTTCTTTCTCAAGGGCGTCCCTTCTCCCACCCGACAGCAAGCAAGCAACGTATAAACTGGTGCCGCCCGAACGGCGCCAGCTTCTGAGTCTCTCGCGCGCGCGTCAGTTGCCGCTCAGAAGTGCTGCGGAGTGGGCAGCCGATTTTTCGAGAGATCCACTCGAGAAACTCTCCTCTTGATTTCTCAGAAGTATATTACGTTCGTCGTGTTACTGCTGCTGGCCTGTTATTCGAGTCTACTTTTTTTGTCCTTTTTGTTTTTATTCTTTTAAAAAAGTTTGTGTGTAATGTAATTTTCGTGTCTTACTGTATGGCAAACATTTGATGATTTAAAATTTTTTTAGTTATTCGACAAGTGTTAAGATAAAATACGTGTGGTACATTAATACCAAAGCGTGTCTTCGTTTTTTTTATCAGGCGAGCTATCAGATTACAAATAAAACTTTGACTACCAGAAAGAAGCTTATTTTGCAGCTATACACGGCATGAAATGAACGATCACGGAAACTTCAACAAAATTCTTATGCAAATACATGTAAATCCGTGCGTGTGTTTCTCGTATATGATTTTGTAACAGCAATCATGACAGCAATACGTAAAGGCATTTCAATACGCCCAATAAACAGCTTCGGAGTCGAGAACAAATCAAAGCCTCTCATTCTCTCTGTCTTTCTTAAGATTAGACGACGACGTTAGAGAGTGAGAGTGAGACAAAGAGAGGCGTAAAAAAAGCGCGCGCTCCGATTTTTCCGCGCGCGCTCTGTCGCAATCGCGATAAGCTTTTTGTCTGCTGTTTAATATTTCTTCTCTTAGAATCTCACGACGATGCGATGTATATATAAGCAAAAAAAATCAGAAACTATTAATTCGCCATCTTAGCATTCGTCCTCTTCGACTATTTTTAGAAAAGTATCACCCTGCGCGCGTGTGTTGAAGAAAGTTGTTGCCTTCTGTTCTCTGTCAATCACGAACTTATCAGTGTCTATTTTATTTGTTTGTTTCACTCAGTGAAGTCGTAGAACAGAACACTGGATCACGGGAGGCGATAACAACGAAAAATCGGCGCAATCATGGACGAGGAAAGATCCTCGAGATCAGGCCCTATGGCCTCGCTCAATAATTTGTTCTCGTTCACCAGTCCAGCTGTCAAGAAACTTTTAGGTAAATTTAAAACTTTATTTCTATTTGTATATTTGTATTCCACCAAGTTTTTCAGCAGACAATCCATTATTACCCTATATACACCTAATAAATTTTTTAATATTTATGAGATAAATCACAATAATTAATAATGACTTTGTTAAATTTTAATATGTAAATAAAAACATTCATTTCTAGGTTGGAAGCAAGGTGACGAAGATGAAAAGTGGGCTGAAAAAGCAGTAGAATCTTTGGTAAAAAAGCTAAAAAAGAAGAAAGGTGCTTTTGAGGAGCTTGAAAGAGCTGTTAGTAATCCAGGAACACCAAGTAAATGTATAACTATCCCCAGGAGTCTTGATGGAAGATTACAGGTATCACATCGCAAAGGTCTACCTCACGTGATCTACTGCAGAGTGTGGAGATGGCCAGATTTGCAATCCCATCACGAATTGAAACCTCTAGAAATGTGTCAATATCCATTTTCAGCCAAACAAAAAGAGGTGTGCATCAATCCATATCATTACAAACGTGTTGAGAGTCCAGTGCTGCCTCCTGTTCTTGTACCTAGACACTCAGAGTTTGCACCTGGCAGATTGCCAATGACTTTTCAGCAGCACAGTGAATCAGCTATGCCACAGAATATGTCATACTATTCTAATGACTTCAACACTGGTCTGGGAAACAGTCCAAGTAGTATGGATGGTAGTGGTAGTTCACCAGTTTCTTCGTATGGTTCAGTATCAAGCCCAATCAACACAGCAAATAATCATAGCCATAATCCTTATGGAGCCAATAATGGCCTTTCTGAAACTCCACCACCTGCTTATTCTCCATCAGAAGATGGCTCTCAGTATGGACAATCGCCGTCACCTAATTCTATGATGGCTATGGATATCAGTAACAATCAGGATGTTGCTCCAGTGCCTTATCAGGAACCAAGATATTGGGCTTCCATTGCCTACTATGAACTTAATTGTCGGGTAGGCGAAGTATTTCACTGTCAGTCACCTTCGGTCATAGTTGATGGTTTTACCGATCCTCGTAATAATTCTGCCAGATTTTGCTTGGGACAGTTATCTAACGTTAATCGTAATTCCACGATCGAGAACACGAGAAGACATATTGGGAAAGGAGTGCAACTGCATTATGTTGGAGGTGCTCTGTTTGCTGAGTGTAACTCTGATTCGGCAATTTTTGTACAGTCTAGGAATTGTAATCATCAACGCGGTTTTCACTTGAGTACTGTTATCAAGATACCACCTACTTGCTCGCTCAAAATCTTCGACAATCAACTATTTGCTGATCTTTTAGCACAAAGTGTGTGTCATGGTTTTGAAGCCGTCTACGAACTTACAAAGATGTGCACAATTAGGTAAATTGTAATTTTGCAATGATTAATCAATTGACAGTGAGAAATTTTTAATGTAAATGAATCTGTTGCAGAATGTCTTTTGTAAAAGGATGGGGAGCTGAGTATCACCGCCAAGATGTAACTTCAACACCATGCTGGATTGAAATGCACTTAAATGGACCTCTACAATGGCTAGATAATGTTCTTACTCGTATGGGTACGCCGCACAACGCCATCAGCTCGGTTTCGTAAAAAAAACATACCGTATACTTACCGAGAAACTTTTGTATACGATGAAAAAGGATAATCAAGATGCCATATTTACGTAGAACGATGTATAGCTTTTAATTGATGCATATACTTTTTTACAGTGCAATATTTGATAAAATGAGCTTAAAATGTACTGATTTTAAAAAGACTTGGAATTTTTAAAACACGTAAGATTACTTATGTTGTGCTTAACGCTAGGATTAACATTTATTTGGATGCGTTTTGTTGCCGTACAAACAAAATAAAATTTGTAGTTGTTCTTTGAACATTTCACGCCGGTAAATACTCTCAAATTAAAATTTAGTTGTTGTACAGTTGATTAGTGAATTATAAAGTAATTACGTTTTTTTAGCGAAAGTTTAGAAGTCATTATGAAATGTTATTGAGAAATCTTTAAAGATTTGATTGTTATTTGTGATATCAATTTGATTATATAAAAAATGTACTTGCAATATATTGTAGTCTTCTAATTGACAATTATTTTACAGTGACTTCTTCTGTTAGAACGTAAGTTTAACAGCGTATAAGAGGCAATCAGTTTAAAATAGTACGTACACGTATATAAATTATTTTACTTATGTACAGAATAAACGTCAATGGTCTCGTGCCTTGAATAGAATAATAACATATCGATAATAATTTTAAGCGGACGTTCGATATATTTTTACAGATATACGAATATCTATACATTGAAAATTTCGAAAAAGAATTAAAAAAATATTAATTATGGACTTTGTTATAATTATATTTGTAAGAGATTTTTTTTTTCATTGAGAAATAAATATATATTATATGTATATACAAAAACATCAAAGATTTTTACTTTCGGTAAGTTCCAGTCCTTAAGATTTAAGAATCCTACATTTTATTGTTTCAAGAACAAGATTAAAATTCTTTTTTTAAATAAAAAGTAATCAACCATTTCATAGTCACTTTAGCAAAGTACCTTAATCATCTTATTTGAATAGAATATTTTCATGTTTTACATTGCATCGTACATTTCATTATAATAATTTTGTTATATTATAATCATTTTTTTTCATAATAATCTTAAATCGCATCTGGAATTCTGAATACAATGTCTATCTATCTATAAAGTGTATAATTTTATTTACATATAATTTATATTTAAAAATATAATACACTACATTTCATCTTCATTCTTTCCCGACAACCATGCAAAACCGCAAACTTCAAAAATTCCTAATGACGGTCATAATTCCAATGTTTAAATGACCGAATGAATGAGCAACCCAAACCTATATACATTGTATCATGCTTGCAGCGAGGTTTCTTGCTGCAGACGATCGCATGTTGAAAAATGTATGTAAATAGTTGAAGTTTATTTAGTTTAGTTTCATCGTAGCGATACATTATGACGGCCCTCTTCTGTGCAAGGAGGATCTTTTCCATACGAACTAATCTCTTAAAAACTCCACGTCGAAGTGATAGCGGTTTTTACGTTCTGTAAGTTCATTATTTTGAGGTTAAATCAATTTCACTTTTATTACAAAGCTATTTTATAATGTTAATTAAAACAATGTAATTTCTCATCATCTCAAATGTTGATGACAATTTTCATAATTTTTGTAGAAAACGATAAAAATGTTAAATTTTTCATTTTCAACTTAGTAACCATTTTTTGGACATATTTTTTTGTAGTGTATAAGGATATAAATGATCATACCTTCACACAATCATAATAGATTTTTCTTCTATATAATTAATTTTCAAACTAATTAAAGATAGATACTGCTACATATTTCTATTATTATGCTTAGAGGCATTATTGTCAAACATCTTAAATTCTATTTTCAAAGCTTACAAGTTTCTTATAAATTGTTTTTTCATTTTATTTAGCTTACCTGAAATTGGTGAAGATTTACCAGAAAAAAATCCTTTACTGAAAGAAGAAACTTTACTTCCTGAATTCAATAAAGTAACAATTGAAAAATGTATAGCAGCTGTAGGGAAGCAAAGTATTGAATTTGAACAAGGATTGAAGTCCATAGAAAAGGAATGTGCAGGTAAGGATTGCACGAATGATTTCAATTAATTAATTTTTTAGTTAAACATAAAATATAATTTGCTGTCTTATATTTTTTAGAACCAGAAAATATCAACATATTTAGTGATGTGTTGGAGCCAATCGAAAAGTTTGAAATGCCTCTACAAACTACTTGGGGTGTTTCAAAGATTTTATATTTTGGAAATCAATCACTCATGCCAACACAAAACTATCTGCACATTCAAAAAAGGGCATGGTTAGCAATTTGTCAAAAGTATAACAGTAAACCAATTTATCAAGCATGTAAGAAACATAATGAAAAAGGTGACCAGAACTGGACAGAAGAACAAAAGCGTATTTTGACAAAATTTTTACTGGAGGGTAAATTAAATGGACTAGATTTGAAAAGTAAAGATTATTACTTTTTTCAAGAATGCCTTAAAAGAATTAACAGAAGAAGCGACGAGTTCCGACAGAAAGTTCAATATGCAACGAAGCTGGTCAAACAAAAAATCACAGATGCCAACAAAATGAAAGGTTTTCCAGATGAATTTTTAAAACTTGTTGCTGTTGACCCAACACAATATGAAGTTGGGCCCTGGATAATTACACTTAATCCTCAAATTTTCCAAACATTTATGGGTAAATTAGTAAAATGTATGATAATTATACATTATATTGAACAATACTTTTCTTGGTCTTACAGAATATTGTCCAGATTCTGCATCAAGGTGGAATCTCTGGAGGGCAAAAGTTTTAAGGTGCTCAGGTTATGGAGATCATATGTTGGAAACTAGTTCCCTTGTAAGTGGAATAACTAATGACAGACATGAAATGGCAAAATACTTGGGGTTCAAAAGTTTTGCTGACATGAGTATGTCAACTAAAATGGCTGGAAGCTTGGAAACAGTTTACGAATTTCTGGATACTCTCTTACAATCAGGTACGTTTAATAACTTATGTCACAGGAAAGTACATGAATGAATAAAATTAATAAACTGATTATTAAACAGCGTTTCCACGACAAGAAGAAGAAATCAACGAGCTCACAGCCTTTGCCAAAGAACGTGGTTTCGACGGCCACATGGAACAATGGGACGTACCATACTGGATCAGAAAGCAAAAACGATCGTTATACAAGTAAGACCATATCCTTGTATTTAGTATATTTTTCAAAATAAATATAAATTTAATTTAAATACAAATTTTCAGCTACGACGACGAAATCTTAAAAGAATACTTTCCTTTACCAAAAGTTATGGAAGGTTTGTTTAACTTACTAAAGAATTTATTTAATGTGGAGATAGTTGAGCGGCAAAAGGTGGATGTGTGGCATAAGGATGTACGTTTTTTTGACGTTTACGATCTCGACATATCCTCTACTGAGCCTAGAGGTAGTTTTTATTTTGATCCATACGCACGTGGCGAAGAAAAGCTTTCAGTCAATAGGCATTCAGGTTGGGTGCTACTTATCAGAAATAAAAGTGAAATCAGTGGTAATATACCTCTCACGTCGATTGTGTTCAATTTCCAACCGCCTAAGGATGGCAAACCGTCGATGCTCACTTTCAACGCTGTGCAGGCATTGTTTGGAAATGTAAGAAGATTATTTTTTACTTTATAATTAAGAACCATGATTTATTATTTTGTAATTTATTGCAGTTTGGTCATATGCTGCAGCAGATTTTGACAACGACAAAATCGTCAGAAACTGCGGGACTTTCGAATGTCGAATGGGACGCATATGGCACAAGTAAAAATGTATTGGCTCATTGGGCTTATGAACCTGACGTGTTAAAACAAATTAGTTGTCACCGTGAAACGGGTGAATCCCTCGATGATGACACTATACAAAATTTACGTCAATCGCGTACTCATATGTCTGGATATAATTTGTGCAAGGAATTGTACCTTTCTAAATTCGATCTTGATTTGCATGTGATGTGAGTTGATTTTGAAATAAGTAGTTTTTGATATATTTTATAAGTATTACTGATATTCGAAATAAAATCACAGAATGCGGCCATGGGAATGGATCATGAAGAGGTGTTGGAAGAGACATTTTGTTTTCCCCGAAGATAAAAAAGATTCTCATGTATGTTCATGGGATGGGATATTTGTTGACAATATGGGTGCTGCGTATTACAGGTTTGTGTCCTAAATTATAAATTGAGATTAACCAAAGTACATAACTAATATCTAAAATTTCAATTTTAGTGAACTGTGGTCGCGAATGCTTGCCGCGGACGTATACAGTGCTTTTCAAGAAGCACCAGTTGGCGATGAAGAACATCAACGGAAAATTGCCAAGCGTTATAAAGAAACATTTTTATCGTTGGGTGGTAGCGTACATTCGAGCGAAGTTTTCAGACGATTTCGTGGCAGAGATCCAAGCTTAAAAGCTCTTCTGAAAAGCCTCAACCTTAACTAAATTATCATGAAGGGAATTCGTTGAACCTAAATAATCGGAAATTGTGATAGACAGAGAGTAGTATTTTTTGTTGTTGATGGTATGGACATTTTATTGGGATTCGACGGACGGAAGTTAATTTTTTAGTACGAGTAAAACTGTATGATAATATTGATTGTCTTACACGAGAAAATCTGTTGTAAAGGATTGAGATTTTTTTGCGACTAGAAGCTTTGACAATGATACTGTTGTATGCTTCATGTTAAATCACCAATTTAATTTATGTAAGAATACACATTGTAAATATAAAACGTATCGATACTGTAATTATTGTATTTTTTCATTGGTTTACCAAAATTTCTTGAGTAACAATCATTTCCATCACATTAGAAGCAATTTTTTACTTTAATAATCACGAAAATTATATACCTATTTATTATAAACTTCATTAGACGTTAAGATAAATTTGTTTCTTTCATTTAAAAACTTACAAAATTTATTTACAAATTCATAAAATCTACTTCAAGCAAATAATTTCGAGATTAATGATTTTAAATGTTTTTAATGATAAATTTTTACAAAACTTCCAGCTTTTGTTTCCACCATGACGATGAACAAAATCGATAACAGTTTAGTACGCTTTACAATTAATAATTAATAATTTTATGACAATGATTACACCAATTATTGCAACGTTTTTGCGAGCCTTCGCAGAACATGAGAAAAATATGAAAATACTATAAGATTCTGTATTTACAAAATTTCATCACAGATAAAGGTATTAGTGAAGGGTGAAATGCAGTACGAATAATTATTACATATAATAAAAATCTGTCAATCTGTCAATAATCCTAATACAAGTACGTTATTTTCAAGCTAACGCACAAGCAATTATAATGATAAAGAGTATAATAATGATGAGCCAGTAAGGCCATACTCTGTCTTTCCGACTAACTGTTCGGACTTCGCGACTTCCCTCAATCAGACGTTGATCCGTTCTATCCATATGGTCCGCTAGATCATCAATTATTTCTAAAATACAAAAAGCAAATCATCATTAGGTAAAAAGTTAATAAATATGTCAATATAAATATATAATTTTTTAAGAAATCATAGAGGAAGTATTTTACCATTATGATAATCCACTTCTGTATGTATAGTTTGTGCAATCTGCTTTTGCCTCGAAATTATTTTAGAAAGTTGCTCCAAGCCTTCTTCTTGCTCTGAAATTACATTAATACACATTAAAACTTTGCTAGCAAATATAAAAAATATAATTCTAACTTACGCTGAAGCAAATGCTGTTTTTGAGCTTTCAAGTCAGAAACACTAGGTCGATCACCAATGTCAATAAGAGGTTCCTCATTGTCGTCAATACCCCAATTGGTGGTTCCACCATCTGCAAAGGCAGAAGTTGATGGATTGCCGAATAATCTTGATCTTGACTGTGCTAATTCGTTCATTTTTGAATCCATAAGTTTTTGAATTTGAATTTCTCGGCTCATAAGTTGTTCTATTTGTCTATTTCTCCTTTCTGCTTCTTCTGTTGTACTATTAAGGATTTGGATGTAAGGAAAGTATGTGAATATATTAATTTTTTAATTAATTTTATTAATTAAATGTAATGGTTTATCAATAAATCAATAATCAAGGAAATGGTTGTAATTAATTTCTGTCTTTCATGAATATAAGAATATTGCAATTTCAGAATATTGTAATAATATAAATCAATCTATGAAATTCATTTGATGAAACTTGATAAATAATTGACATTGAAGAATGTAAATTATCATGACTCATTTTACTTCTTATGTCATATGTATTCTTTTTCAACCTAATATTGAATTTTAAAGCTGTGAATAACATCACAGATCACATCTAGTTTTACAATTAAAATCTTTAAAAACATACAATTTTAAGGATACATAATTCGCTGTCTAAAAGCTTCATTAACTTTTCCTTTTAGTTTTCTTATTTGACTACTATACTGGTTTAATCTTATACGAATTTGTGCAGAGAGACTGGCATAAGTCTGAGACACTCTTGATTCTTTATTCCTCAGAGTCAGCTGCTCCATAATCTCCCTGAACAAGTTATCGCAGGCCTCATATTCGTTGAGCCTATATGTGAAAGCAAAAAAATACTATCCACAATCAAAGCAAAAAGTAAATAATCTCATTGTGAGTACACTACCATGGATCATTGCCATCAATGTAAACAAGAGTCATCTTCGTTATGCTTCAAAAACTGCTAACTCGATTAAACTGGTAAAATCAATGCTGATATAAATGAATCTTGTCGAGAAAAAAACTTCAGTTAATTGAAATCGACGTACCTTCTTATTAAATGTTATATTTCTTATGTGCTCTTTCGTGTGACTAAAAATTCAACCACGCTGTTGATTCATACACGCCGTTTAGATCTAAAACGTCTTTCTTTTTGTTTCTTTCTTTCGTAGTTAGATGAGAGCAGTGCTGTCAAAGCGCAAACGCTTGCGTTGACGCACTATTTTGTTAGCTCATCACATGTTCTCGAGAGGAAAAGTGAATTATGGAGCACTAAGTTTCATTATGGACTAAATACGTTTTATATTAGAAGCTAAAATAAGTAGTATGCTCCGAAATCACAAGGTTTCACGATTATGATGCCTGATGTGTATATATTTTTTTATACACGTACTTGTACTTATTCATGTGAAGAAATAATCCAAATCAAGAATGATGTCACAAGTGGTTATGACTCGTAAGTTTATGTGGATAAATTTTTGACGATTAGATGGAGCATTTGTGACATTAATCAACGTTAGGTTAAGAGCGATTTTGGCAACTTATCCCCACGCAATTTTATAATTAGCCAGAAAAAATCCATTTGATGTCATCGATGCTCCATCGTTGAGAATAATTGGAATTTGAACTTCGCGGGTTGCGAATTAATGTCCGGGCAATACTGTAAAATAATACTTTTGTAAAATCACTAGTATGAGAATATTGGACACGAAACGGACCTATTCTGAGAGCAGTGAAATCGCTAGCAGCTAGTAAGTTTTATAGTTATTAGCTAGTATTTTTATAAAAAAAGCTAAGATTTCGGTTATCGTTAAATTACTAGTCTCAGAGAAGTAATTTTACAAGATGAATTGTAAATTTACTAGAATTTATAATTTTACTAGTATGAGACTAGTAAAAGTACTACACTCAGAGTTAGACATCAGTTCCAATTTTACTATTAGATACTTATTATACAAATGTATTTTTTTACAGTGTGTGTGTGTGTGTGTGTATGTGCATGCGTGTGTATATACACTCTGCCTGGACAATTGTTCGCGACCCGCGAAGTTTAAAATTCCATTTATTTTCGAGAATGGAACATCGATCATATGAACCGAAATTAAGCTGAGGATTTATTTTGGCAAGTTGTGCCCACACCACTTCACAACTTGCCAGAAAAAGCTCATTTGATGCTATCAATTATCGATCAATCGATGCTCAATCGTCGAAAATAATTTGGATTTTAAATTTCGTAGGTCGCGAAATAATATCTGAGCAGTTTATATTAAAAGTGTAATTAATTTTTGATTAGATATGGTCACAATACTTAATTTAATTAATAATAGGTGGATTCATATTCATGCCTGAGTATGGGCTTATCGACGTTTCAGTACTTTTAGTCAGAGACCCACCGCCATCTAATTTAGAACTATCATTTTTTATCTTTCTTGAGTTATTGATAGAATAGGAATTTTATTGTTCAATGAATGCATTTAAGTAATCTTATATTTTGATATGGATTATAAGAGAATATTTTTTCATTGATTAAGTTAGATATTCATGGATATAATTCTAAATTATAAATGTGATTTTGCAAACTAAAATTTATTGTTCTCATAATCAATTATCATAACGTATATTTATTCATTCAATATGTATTTATTAGTATTGCAAACGGGTAAGTGTTCATTTGAAAATCCGCTAATTAGCATAGAATATTAATATTATTTCAATTTTGGATTTCAATTAGTTACGTTTTTAAAACTTTCAGGAAGGATTAAATAACAAAGAAACGACGGGTTTAATCAATAAATTAATTTAATTGTCATAACTAAGCTTATATACATGCATGCCGACAGTAAGTTACAATTCGGTCTTAACATCACATACGTACTCGCATTTTTTTTTCAAAACTCAACATTGAAATTGACTTTTCAAGTCGACGTTCTGCAATTAAAACAATTGACATTGATAGCAGCGCAGTAGTGTAATAAATTTGTAATATGAAAGCGGCAGTAATCAACGCCATTGTTCAAGCGTAATTACAAATCGACGTATAGGGATAGAGCGATACAAATTAACCGAAAAGTCAGCATCAACGTCGAGCCAATCTCACATGGTTGCCACATATAATTACAACAATCGATAATACACACCCTTCTCTCACACGCATTTAGCACATCTCGCTTGCACAAAAAATGTATTCTAAATACAAATACAATTATATTTCGTATGTCCGGACAATAATATAAATAAATCAGACGGAATTATTAAAAATATAGGTCAAACAATATTAACGCTGAGCTCTTACCATTCGTCTATGTTAAGTTATCATGAGATCACTATTTGCGTACATGTGTATGTGTGAGTCTGTGTGCGTGCGTGTGTGTTATTTATTGTATATGCGCGCACTTGCGCTTTGCACTTGTCATTTTCGCTGTGGTTGCGAACACCATTACTCTTTTCTTCTCTCTTCAATCATTATAATATAGAAATGTAGGACCACACGTTTAACGTATATGGAGGATTGTATTATTTGTTTAAAAATCATTGACGGTAAGTATTTGGTTTTAGTAGTTGGTAAGCTTTTATTCTAAAATAATAAAAATGAAAGTAATCACATTTAAGAAATAATGATAATTTGAAAATTATTTTAAAAGATAATTAATTAAGAACAAATTTGAAATATTTTGAATCGATATTTGAAAGCCCTATATCTACGTTGGAAAATAACTAATAATATTTCCACGCGGAATCCTTCAAGTATACTTAGTTACACATGCAACAGGCATTTGGCAGTTCATGTTGATGGTGGGCGTATGTGTGCACATGGTTTATACGCTATTGTGCGCAAATTTCGCTCGTTTCGATTTCACGCGTTGCAGCTCATTTTTATGATTTGCTGAGCTTTGATATTACTTTTACACGTTTATTTTTATTATGTTTTCTCAAATTTTATTTGATGGCACATGATCTGCTGATTGATCTGATCTAATCTGGTTTGTTAGCATACGCTTGGTTTGTTAAAGAGTAACTTTTTTTATTTTTCTTCTATTAATTAACCGCTTTTTTTAATTATCAGCTATTTTATTTCAACGAAATAAAAATTTACTAAAATCCTCTCAGTGGAAAGTAAATTATTCAATTTTATCTCGCGTAAAACATCACAATATGTTTTACAATAAAATATTCGTGTTATGCAACACATTAAAACTACTCCTGGCTTCCTTATCATGATATTTATGATATTTTTATATAATTGTAAAAATTACAACTATTGCTTATTACACCTATAATAAAAATATTACTACAATATCAGAAATTTAACAAGTGTATAAATTTGATCAACTGTGAACGAATTCGCGAAAAATTGTAAAAAAAAATTGTAGTTATAATTTACTGTTAACATAACAATGATGCACCGAAAATATTTTGATAGGGGAATTCTGGGCAAAACGGATTGGTGAGGGACAATTGATATAAAAGCAACCTAATTTTAACATATTTCAATATGTCATAATTTATTTATATATTATGGCATTTGTATTACATAACACAATAGTTAACTTGGAAAAGAAAACAATAACAGTTATTTAAATAAATGTACAGAAACGTGATCCTTTTTGCTCGGACTAAAATATGGTCGGGCAAAATGAATTACAATAAATAAATCATTTCTAACAGCTTTTGTAAGCTCTATAATTACATAAGCTAACATGAACAATATATAATTAATATTAACTAAAAAAACTTATATATAAGAATTACAATTATCACAATAGAAATGTTCGACGCCGTCTTCGTGTACTCAATTAGAACATTGATAAAATTGGATCTACTTTTGGGGGATCCATCCTTGTATTTCTTGTTGCAAAATGAACAATAACACTTTTTTATCTCTTTTAACTCTCTTTTTCAGAGCATCAAATTCAACTTCACTTTTATACTTATTTTTTATTTGCTTTCGCTGTTTTGATGGTATTGGTCTGATCTTAGATGAAACTAATATTTCAAAATGAATATTAACAGGCAAGTCAACATGAGAATCTAATTTATTTACAACAAAATCTGTTGATTTTTCTTTTTAATCTAAAGTACGATTCGTGAGATTAGTAAGAGCATACTATTCATCATTGAAGACATTAGTATCATATTACCAAATTCTTGGCTTAAGAAAACCTTTTATAGTACCTTGAACGGTTACTCCTCGCACATAAGCTCCATTAAATAGTTTGAACATATCATTCTAGATGATCGTCATTCCAAGATGGTTTTTTGAAATTTATCTATACTTCTTCTTCAAAGAACTTTTTGATAGGTCCCTACGCGGAAACATCTAATGGTTGATCTTATTTCTTGTATGTAGCGCAAAGGATAATAAAGTTATATGATTTTCGTTTAGACGAACATTTATAGCAAAAAACTTAAGCTATTCAAAAAAAGATTGGTCCGTTCACCCAACCGCTACCACTGACGTAACCTCTAGAGCCAGCAGGAACATCATCTAATAAACGATTTTGCATTCTCTTTCGTGCAAGGATGATGTGGTGGTAAAATCTACTTGCTTTATTCTCTTTACTGTTAACATTTCAGGTGTTTTATTACTAGTTGAACGGTTTCCTCTTTTATTCTTGTTATAAATCATTGTACCATCGATAGATTTTTCTTTAATTATCACCCATAGTAAAAATTAAAAATTTTCAACTTGTGATCAATTAAAACCCCTAGCTAGAGCAAGAGATTTTGGATTGCAGAGAGTAATTTCAGAGTTCCGTTTTTTAAAACTAATACACCAATCATCATCAGCAATTTCATTTTTGAATGGACGCTTAACTTTGCATGCCTCCGTATAATTATATGCAAGTTTTTGAAATTTAATTCAGGTCACATCGGAAAAATAACAAATCCATTTCTTTATGTATTTATAAAGTTCTTCGTCTTGCTCTTCGTTGAAAACTATTTTAAATTACCCTTTTTTTTACGAACACTATCTATCAAAATATGTCGTGCCAAGTGGTGAACGGTATCCTCCAACCAACTAGCATGAACTGTTTTTCGTTTATACGTGTAAATCATTCTGTAAACAAAATTAATCCTTGAAATATACATACAATAATAAAAGAAGCCGAATTTTTCAAGTTGGGCAAAACGGATCATCTTTTTTCCCATGATTCGTTTTGCTCGGAAGTAAAAGTTTCACTTTAACTCACTTCATTAATAAAATAATCAATGAATATCCAAATTCAATGAGGATTCTAATAATACAATGGAAATTGAAATATAAAAATTGTTTCCGCGTTCATTCACTAGTCATAATCTAAAAATAGAACGACATACATGCCTGTTAAAATCAAAAGATTATGCTTGGAAATATGTATATCGACAATCACTTCTCACAGTACACTCAGAGAAATAAATTAAGTATGGCATATAGTAGGTACCATTACATTACAATACTGTAAGCAACGCCCAGCGCGCTATCTATATAATTATCGGACTGATTCGTTTTACGCACGAGATGCTCTTTGCCTGGATTTACCTTAATAAGAAACACGAAAATTGATAGTGTATAGTAGTTATAACAACATAAAAGTTTCAAGTTATGATTTATAAAGATTTGACAAAAAATTTTATCAAACAAATCAATAAAATTACCAAAGATCAATCGCATTTTCATAACTATAAATTTTCTACTTAATTTTTATTTTACATGATTTTGAACTACAGTTAAAATTATTGAGATATCTTTGTATTGTACAAGCTTATTTGGAAATAATAATACAAAAGTAAAAATGACTAATGTTTACAACTAAAATGGAAGCAGAAGTAAATTTCGGCGATCGCCTTAAGTTCAAAAACAGTAACATTTTAAATTCTGAAATGTTGATTATTTACTCAATACAAAGGAGTTTTCTGTTTAAAATTTTTATTCTACAAACATCTTTACAATTCTATCTGTACCCAATTTGTTGCATTTCAAAGTTCAAAATCTCATTATTTTTAGTTTCCATGTTAAGGCATATTTCAACGCTTGTTCTAAAAAAAATGTTTCTTACTTAATAATCAATTCATTAATGATTAATTTTTTAATTATTCCATATCATACTTACATATATTTATTTACTCATGCTCAATCGTGCTTCGTTTTAATATATCTATATATAATAATTAATTGTATTTTCATCGGCTAGTTATGTTTATTTCATTTATTGTGTCGCTATCTTACAAAAAATCATTTTCATACGTTCGTGCTGAAATATATGTAGAATTTGTTCATATTCTTTTTTTTTTAATAAATGGCAAAATTTATGATTTCCAAAGGAGTTATATCAAAGGGGCAGTGACGCATACGTGAACTTTATTATTTACAAGTGCAACTTTTATTGAAAAAAATTATTATTTCTAATTAACACGGTTTTAAAATTTCACGTTGAATAACCAAATTAAAACTACCCCTTATGTGGTTTTTTATTGTGACTTTTATGACATTTTTATTCAATTGTAAAAATTACGACAATAATTGCGATTATAATTACTCATTAGCATGTAATCAAAATAATTCATTATGCTTTGTACCGGTGCAAATAAGCAAATATTGCTTCGACACATGGTAAATGTTTCTAATACGGCGAAAAAATCGCCAATTAATCAATGAGATTCACATATTCGTTATCATACGATTATAATTTTACAAACATCGTCCAGCGCATTTCTTCTTTTCTCATTTGTGATTAACAATATTAATGTTCAACATTAATTCCAACTGAATGAATAGCTTCAACATACATTAACCTTTCATTACCAAATACTTAATTTAATTTTTCACAATATATTTAGAATAAGTTATGTGTTATATGAACCTTTACAATGATATGCGTAACGCAATATTTAAAAGTATGCTTTAATCATAGAATATAATGTTTAATATATTTGAATAATGGATATCTTATCAGACAAATAGAAAAATATGTTAGTTTGTTCTGCTATTTTCAGAAAATAAAAAAGTGCTTATTATCTTTCAAAAATTGAAAAAAAACATTGATTATGAATTAAGACACAATCTTTTGATTTCTTTTTATTAAATACAGTGAAATGGCAACCATGATATATGATTATCTAAGTGTTTTCTTCTATATAAAATTTAATTCAAATTATTTTTTATTATTATAGACTATTAAATTGCTTGACATTTATGTTTATCGATCTCAATCTCCATTGAATTCTAATGGAATCTTTACGTTATGAAAAACAATTTCGAATTGTAGATGCCTCTATTCGCTTCTTTTCCTGATATTGCATATATAGTAAGTAGTTATTGTTTCCTTAATTGAGATCAAATTTTTCTACTCAGTAAATTTTTTGATCGACCAATCAAATTTTCATCGAGTTTACTTGGATTAAAAATCGAATCCGCAAGTCATATTTTATTAGTTTATTAAAATAACTAAGCTCGATCAAACAATTTTAATAATAAATCTTTTAATTTACAAAACAATATATTTTTATAATTTCCAGCTCGCACTTGCAAAAAATGTTCCTTAAAATCTTAGAATGAAGGAAGTTAAACATTTGACTTTTGCCAGTCTCATTTACCTAGTGTTATTTTTCTAACGCTTAATCAACCATATTCTCAACAGCAATCAAACTTGAAAATTGAACTCACCACAACAACCAACTTCAAGTAACAAAGTACATACTTATATTAAAAAATAACAGAATTGCAACACATGAACGTCTAAAGCTGCACGATAACCGTGCCGCTGGCAAGTATAACGATTCACGATAACCGTTCAATGGTGGCGGCAGCACCATGGCGCCCTCTAGAAAAAACGCAGGCGTATGCAGCACCATTGCGTACCAGAAGAAAAGCCAAACAATCGGCATGACCCCATCCAAGAACAACGAGTCGTTGTTCACCAGATACCCATGCGGCTCTAAATGATCTGACATTCCTTCGTGGACGTTGCTGTTCCTGCCGGTGTCGACGATGATGCCGACGACGACGGCTGTCTCTCTGTTGTCGTCTGCCGACGAGTGCTTGCATTACGAGATCCTCACAGCCTGGCAGCGCCGCCACGCTGTACTAACTGACATCGTCCTCGGCCGCTAATTCCTCCAGCGGCGAGTCCGTTTGCGTGGCGGCGTCCCGTCCTCACGTAATCAATACACCACCTGGTGTCATTTCCCATGGAACTGGAGGTGTTGTTGCCAGTGAAAGATTCGAACAATGAGCCAGGGAACAACGGTCCATTGAATAACGCTCGAGACCTAAAAACGTTACGTTTATTTTTAAATTGTTCAGGTGACCAAAAGAACTTTCAGTGATTATGAAGTTCAATTTCTTGTTAGTAAGTATTTTGAAAGTTTTAAAAAAATTATCGTATTCTGAATAATCTAAAAGTTGGATAGAATTTTGAATTATGAGTAGAAGATATGCCGATTTAGTGAGACCTATGATCTATTGGATTCTTTCCAGTGATCCATCAAAACGGCTGACTACACATACGACTACTATAAGTTAAAGTAACTACATTGACTTTTTATAAATCGCACAATTTAAAAGATGTAAGCAGAGAACCCTCAGTTTTGTCAGATTGGAAATTTTGATAAGTTTTTTTTTAGTCTTCTAAGTTTCATATGGAAGAGTAAAAAAATATTTTTCATTCATTGACTCTACTGAATAGTAGGTCTTAGATGCGGAACAACAATTTTGTAGTAGATCAAGACTATGTTTAGTCGATCAACAGTTATTTTTTAATTTCTTGTCTAATTAAAATGTACACTGCTCGTAAACATCACGCAATTGAAAATGAATGAAATAATCGTCAAGTTTGACGTGTATCGGTTTTCAACTAATCGATTTGCAATAGTAGCCCTTTGGAAAATAATCACAAACTGATGAATTAATTTCCGGGATCTATCGTCTGCGTTCAGTAAATATTTGTTGTCCTCGTATTAATCATCTGTAATTTGCCTAACGTTGGTGATTGTAAAACGTTCAGGCCACCTTCAATTAATGTTGCCTGAGTTAAAATTAAATTATGTTTTTGGCTTTACCTGACAAGTCCAACCCACCAATACTGCAAACGTCGAAACCAGCAGTGCTCGTTGCGCAGCAATGCTGCTTCGGCCCCATCGGCTTTGGTCTGCACAATAACTATAACATAAAGTGTAAAGTTATATGGAATGGATATAAAATATATTTTGTTAATTTTCAATTGTAGCGAAATGCTGTATTTTATGTTTCCAATTATTTACGATAACCTAATTGCATTTTTGTTATATTGCTTATTATTTTTATGTAACGTAGTAAATATAATCAATAAAGTTCAATCAGTTCTGATAGTTATTAACTAATACATTTATAAGACATAATTAATTTTAGGTTGAAACCCACGTAAAAAATCTTACTTGCATTACAATACAATGAAAAAATGAAAATCCACTGAGTACTCTGTAATAACATTCTTCTTATTTTTTATTCTCTCCTTATCACGAGAAAATCCTATACATGAAATCATGAGAGTTTATCAGAGCTTCATGAGAAAAATAGAGAGAAACAGAAAAGTCAGAATAACCTATTATTCCCATTATTTGGTCTCGAGTCTCGTTTCGCTTTAAATTTCCAACAATGACTCGCTAATATCTCTATCTCTGGGACCTTTTCCTGGGTAAACAAGGACGGCTCGCGTAATCAAAGATTTACGGGCTAACGATGCGCTTTTCAGAAAATTCATGAGGTGTAAAGTCGCGGTTGCAAGACGCGAAAAAGTCTATCTCTTCCACACTAAATAGGGAAAACGCCGTTATTTCGTCTTTTTTTTTACTCTGTAGTCTTACTTGCGTGGCGTCGCGTTCTGTAGAGTGTCGTTTAGTTTTATAGGCATTTGATACCTTTTCGAGGGCTTTTAAAGAGATACTGATGTTGATTTTTTTATGATGTTAGAAGTGGCCTGAGAAAAAATATAAATTGATTTATCGAGCTATCAACGACAAAAACCGACCCAAATGTTCCATGTGGTCACCCAATCATAATTCTACTCGATAAAATAACGTTTGCCGAACAAGCATAAAAATGTAACAAAACAATTAACTTTTTTAAAAATACGGAAGTGCTTCTTTTCAATTCTACGCGACAAATGTCTCAACGAGTTTTATATCTCAGACGACCGACTTTTCACGGTTACCCTCCCCCTTTTCGTATTCTTTTTCCTCCATTGAGGAAAAAGAACTCTAGTCTTGGCGTGTCGAACTTTAATCCTCCACCTACTCGAACACTCGAACGCTCACTTGGATTTTCCGTCTCGAGCCTCTCTCGTTTTGTTCTTTTTCCCCGTCAATGGCTTGTTAATTCTTTTTTTTTTTCTCGCAAGGTCTTTGCGTACTCTTTTTCTTTCATCTCGTAAATCTCGGTTATTTTTTCATTGACAACAATTTTTAAATCCCGTATATATGTAATTTTTCGTTATTGTTTCTTATCAAGTGAGGTTTTTCCTAAATTATTTTTTTCAGTAAGATTAGTAGCGTTGCTCCGTTGGATATCGTAACAGAGCAGGGTAAAAAAGCGAGTTGAGAACGACGTTGAAAAAAATTTCATTACCGAACAACTGTAACAGCGTTTACCCTCTGCGAAGAGTAGTTTTTTCTCCGTTTTTCCCCTTCATCGTTTCCTATCCCTTACTCGTTCCCTTCGTATCAATTGTTTTATTTTTTGCCATCGAGATGCTAATTGCCGCGTTGTAAATTGCACCTAGCTTTTTTCTTGTGAAGAAAATCGTTTCTCATTGTATGTAAGCTTAAAGTAACGATAAAACTGAAGTTATTTGAATTTAATTATATCAAGAAAGAGCAAAAAAGTTTATGAACCTTGTTTCATTCTTGTAAAAATATTTTTCAACGTAGAAAATATTTCTTGATTACATAATTGCAAAAACAAAATTTTTATCTACTACAAATTTTCTCAGAAAATGCAGCATTGATGAATTACTTTAATAGTAAATGCGATAGGAACCAAAAGTTCTTTCTATAACTAGAAACATGTTTCCTTTGACGTGCTTCGTTGATAATAAGCAATGAAAATTGAGCTTACCCTAGTGTAAATAATCTCGCGGGAGATTCTACGAAAGTGATTGTTGAGGAGCCAGTAGAGGAAGGGATTCCAAAAGCTGTTGGATAGCGAGAGCCAAGTAGCAATGAAGTCAAGGAAGGCCGGCGGTTTGCTTCCTGTGCAAGCGGCAACCACTTCCTGAATCGTCCAAGGTGTGACCATCACGATAAAGCCAAGGCTCATCGCGGCCATTGTCCTCGAGGCAGCGGTCGACAGTTGGCGCTCGTGCAACATTAACTGCAACATTTCATCAAGTTGACAAAAGCACGCACATGCACGCTCCGTTGATTGTTAACGTACGTCCGAATTTTGGCACCTTCACGGCAGTCCGTGCTCGCGTATGAAAAGACGCAGCAACTGAGTGCTTGATTAATTGGAGATTCGCTCGAGTTGAGCGGTGAATCAAGCGTTTACCCGAAACACAATCGTAGTTTCGTACATAAATAAAATTGAAGGAGCATCCGACGCAAATTAAAACCAAAGCAATATGCAACGCTTTCAGGTAGTATGGTCACTTCACTCTCTCTCTCTCTCTCTCTCACTCTCAAATGCAGATTACACGGGAAGAATGGCAGAAAGACTACTTTTGAAGAGTGCAGCATCCTCAAAAAAAAAAAAAAAGAAGGCAAAAGAACAGAGACCTTCCCCGTATATATAATCCTTTTACCGTCAAACTTAGCATCTGCGTTAACCATGCCTCTTTTACAGCCACTAAGGGCTTACACTACTTCTTTTACTTTTTCGTCTTTTTTAGCTGACGCTGGTGGTAGAGTAAAACTCTTTCATCCTTGTAAAGCGAAGCTTTGTTTAGCGAAGATAGGGAAAAAAGGGAAAGCCACTGAAGCCACTGATGAAAGTCCGTAAAGGATTTAACATCGTTTTAGAGCTAATAGAGTCGCATCCGCGTTACGCGTTTCATCGTGAAGATTATGTATCTCAAGAGGGATTTAGGAGAGTATTACACTTGCCAGCTTTGCTGATTTTGTTCGGTTAATTGAACGTATTTTATATTGTTGGAATTCCCATGCTTGTCGTGTGTTACTTGTTTTAATTAGAACGTGGCTTAGGTAATGTTGATTGAGCGTCTCGTTAAAAAGACATGTTTTTAACCCTTTGAAAAATAATTAAAAGGAAAGATATTTTGTTAAAATCATAAATCAATCAATTTATGCGACAGGTTTGAATGATTTTTACGTAAGAAAAACGTTTCATCTAGCTTTTTACCAGCACTATAGATGCCGACATAGCTTTTCAAGCTATAAACTCCTTTTTACAGAATATTTAGCTGAGCGCTGTTGGGATTAATCTTAACATGAAAAGTGCACTCGTCGATTCTATTTTTTTTTCATTTCGTTACGTTGATATACTATCTGTATTCGGGGGTTTTTCAATAAAATTAAAAGGTTTTCTAGATATTTCTAGATTAGGTTAAAAACATTCATTATAATTACAATTTTAGTTGTTCACGTGTTGTAGCTTTCAAAATTAAATATAGTTTTATGTACAAAATACATAATAATAAGTTTGTTTAGTAGTTTTAAAAAATACCTGCCTTGATATTGAACACTTTTCAATTTGATATGTTTATAATAGAGTAAAAATAGCTTAAATATTTTTAATTAAAATTACTCCAAATTCATTATGGAGCTGTAATATCAAGTTATCTTTAATTAAACCAGTGTAAGCAACAAACATGTTGCCAAAGTGAACATTCATGAAATTTTTTATTACTCTTAAAATAAAAAATATTCTTAGCTGTACATCTAAGTTGCTTTTCGTTTCGTGACTGTCGAGATTGTGTAATTCTTGAATGCAAAAAAAAGTTTTACTTACTCACAAAATACGAAATGAAGGAAGTATCAAGAAGAAAGAAAAGAAATAAACAAGTCGTAGAGTTCATGAAGTCGGCATCTTCGATGTGCAAATATTAAACTCGCTCTCATTTTTTTTATTCATTTTGAGCTCGGGAATATATGTCAATGTTATCCCTCGGTTTTCTATCGATCACAGAGAAATTCATCCTCGATGATTTTTTTGCTCTCTCTCTCTATCTCTCTTTCTCCCTCCCTCCCTCCCTCTCTCCCTTAGTTTCTCATCTTTCAATTTGCGAGAGAGTGCACCTCTAATTAATTTCGCGAGGACTTGACTCCTCGAGAGGAATGAATGTGTCATTATGAATATTGTTAGGTACAGGCGTTTGTTAGAGCTGTTTTTTTACTTTTATTTGCTTTCCGACTTTTGCTTTTCGTTATATGTGATCATGAATACGTCGAGTGCATGTAATTTCTGCACGATAAAATTTGTTGATATGAGAATACTTGCTTGAGCTCATTTTTATATTGTTCGTATTTGTAGAAATACAATTTTTTTTAATCCAATGTTCGGACAAAAAGACTTCAATATAAAGTTAAAACTTTCTGAATAATCAGCCTTATAGGTTTACTCGCACTTGAATGACGTCTCCGAGCCAATTACCCTAAAAGAAAGTTGTTATCGAGAATGGATGAAAGTCGCGAGATGCTTGAAAGAAATCGCAAAATGTCGCGTTCTTTTGTAACCATCTGCAGCTTTGTGCTTGGATTTTTTTTCTTCATAAAAAAGTTTGACATTTTGATAGGTAACTTACTGGTTTCTCTTTCCTCGACTACTTGTTGATCTCGTTATGATCTTAATAATGAGTTTCTTGTGATTTGCATTAGTCGATTGCGGAAAGCAGTTGTAATGTGATTATGATTGAGGCAAATAAATGAAATATTAATCAGAATCAATTTAATGAGTTCTATAGTTTATTAATTATTTTCAGACATAGTGCAGTTGATATTGCGGGAGATACATACTTTATAAATTAGTGCACAAGAATGTTGAAAAAGATTATTATACATTAGCACTTTCTTATTACTATCGTAATTAGAATAAAACAATTTTTTCGAATAAAAGTATATGCAATGTTGACAATTACTTCCGTTGTAGAACTTTTCTTAATTTAATGCGTAAACGGTATGATGGAAACATTGTGGTTGACTTTGATTTTATTTTTTCTAAAAGTCTGCTTGAAAAAGTAATAAATCCAGAAACAGATACTTTTGAATAAAGTATGTACAATTTCCATGAGAGTAAGAAGTGAACCACCAACGAATAACCCAAAAATTCCTCCAAATTGAACTAAAATAACAAACATTATAAAACAACAACAATAAGATTCAAATTGATAATGTCAAGATGTTACCCAGCATATCGAAATCATCCACCACAATTATTCTTTTGTATCGAATTCCAGTCCTACTGTCAAAGTGTATGTCCAAAGACAGTGTATCATTTTTAGCAATATGATCAATCATGAAATAATTGTACTTATTATTTGCACAGCTGACTGGACAGTTCCAATTTGTTCCCGGGACATCAGAATGCTGATACATAAATTTCTTGATATTACCTAGAATCCAAATAATAAAATTGGCACGTGCAAGAAACAAAAGCCTCTAACTTAGGCATGCCGCGTATCCGTTCCCCGGAATTTTGACCCGCTGAATCAAAATCGAAAATCAAAATTGCTCTATCACCCTCCAGATTCGTCTATTTATCACCGTGTTTAAAAAATTAGATTTGTTAGATTTCTGTTGTTTTGAATCTAGAATTTTTCACGATTTGAAAAAATTGGAGAATGGTGAAGCAAATCTGTCAACGGATTTGTATTTAGCCAATTAAAACAACAAAAAATACGCTTGTCGGTATATTATCTATTTTGATATTTTAGTTAGAAAATTTTTATATCAGCAGATACCTACCAATGAATTCTGTAATACATTTCAAATCTTTTAATTCCCATTCACGTGCATCGCCCGAACGTTCTACAATTTGTTTCAATTAAAAGTTGCTATCGATGGAAACAAAACACGAATTGCATGCTTACTGTCAAAAAATGCTGTTGGTGTACAATTGCAATGAATTTGAATATATTTCAGAAATTGGCGATCTCTGCAATTACTCATTCTGTAAGTCCCATTTGTATATTTACATGGTGCATTCGGAAGATCTTCTAATTTTAAAACATCGGGTTCCGCATAAATTGAAATAAATCTTAGGGGAATTTCATAGTGACGACCAAAACTAATGATATCACCTTTCGTTGGGATCTCATACGAATCTTCTATCATTAAATCTGCTCGTATATTGTCTAATACTCAAATAAATGCATTATTTTTTATTGTCTAATATCTGTATGAATTATAAAATACTTTATATAATAAAAATACTTTACCAAACATAGGTGATTTAAGAGTGACTGTCAATCCGCTCTTAGATTCAGAAAAGTGAACTTTTTTGGGCTCTGAGTGAGTTATTGAGCTATTTTCTGCAGTTTTCGAATTGAACGAATAGCAAAATCCGTAATACGTTTTTTCAAGATCAAATATGTCGCAGCAATTTTCTTTCTTGTAACCGAAAGTGCAGTTGTATAAAATTTCGTTGCATTTTGGTGTCATCAAAATCATCGCTTGTGTCAAATTTACTTTGACATAAAAAAAATTATTTGATGTTTTACTTGAAAACTAGATGAATAAACACGTTAAGGATGATAATGAATTTTATCTACTTTTAAAAGTTTGTCGTGTTTGAAGTGTTGTTTGATAAGCTTTCAATTTATAAAAACAGTCTCATAGACGAAATATTTTTTGAATACTTATCTTTATAATGTATTAGTAAAATAGTGTTTTTTACAATTTGAGTTGATTTCATCATAAATCAAATATGGAAAAAAAATAAATAGAAGATATAACCGATATGAGTCATGTGGTCCTCTACGTGTTAATTACATTCCATCTTACCACTCATCTCTTCCAGTTCTAAATTTGTGAAATTGAATTCAAAAAGATCAAATTTTGCTATGTTTATATCAGATATGTGATAAAGTATTTCTTTAACAATGTTCTTGAACTTTTCAGTATTATGTGGTAATAGTTCCTCTACAGTTGCATTTATGTATTTGTCGCTGGCTTTATTAATTGGGCAAATTGTGATGCTCGGAAATGGAACTGTTGACAGATTGGCTTGAAGCTCGTCAATGACAACATTAATCTTTCTATTCTTGAATTAAAAAGAAACTAATTATATAAAAAAAATTATGTGAAATTTACGTTACCGATAATTACTTGATAATTGCCGTATAGTAAGTAAATAATATAGGTCGCCGAAACGAATCCTCCTAAGAAAACTATTAACCATACTATATGATCGATTAG